ACTCTGGGTTCTGGGTGTAAATGTGACTCCATTTGCCTTCAGGACCCAGCAGGCCCATTAGAATCGGACAAAATATCCCCTCCACACCTGCTCTGCCAACAAACAGTGTGTTGGTCAGGGGATGCAAAGACAAGGTGCAGGGAATATTCTTGCAGGGGCTCACACAAGGCTCCTGTGAGAGTCTTGTCTGCCTCTAAGGAGGGTAAGGCTTAGGGCAAGGCTTGCTTGTGACATTTGGCACAAATGTTCCCTGCTAAGTACCATGGAAAGGAAAGTAGAGGTAATTTGAAGGGCGAATTGACAGGACGTTGACCTGATGGAAAGCACTGGATGGACTGAAACAGAGATCTGAAGAATGGAATATAAAAGACAGGGCACGTCACTTATTTCTTCCTTCAGCAAGAACTGAACTATGTGGAAGCAACCCTTCTCCTCAATCTGATTTCGAGTCTCTAACTGCAGAGGAATGACACACCCCATCACTTAGTGTTAATACTAACTGTAAAACACAGTAAGCAGATGCTGGGCATAATGGTGCACACCTATAATTCCAGCTACTTGCCATACTAAGGCAAGATCCTAAGACCAGACTGGGCAACGTAGCAAGATCCTGTCTCAAAATAAATTTTTAAAAAGGGCTGAGGATACAATCAGTAGTAAAATACTTGCCTAGCAAGGCTCTGCATTCAATCCCCAGTATGAAACAAACAAACAAAAAAACAAGATAAAGAGTAAATAGCTTCTCTAAATTGATGAGCATTATGAATAGTGTAAGTGATTTAAAGTTGCCTATTAAAAAGAATCTTCTATGTACATACATTATATTTATTCAGCCTTGGAAGAAATTCTAACACATGCTACAACATAGATGAACCTTGAGGACATTATGTTATGTGAAATAAGCCGGACAAAGACTACTGTTTGGTTCCATTAATATGAAGTTCCTAGAGTAGTCAAGTTCATAGAGACAAAAAGAATGGTGGTTACTGGGGGTGGGGAAGGTGGGGAGTTAGTGGACATGGGGGTGTAAGAATTCTGGAGATTGATTATACAGCAATGTGAATGTACTTAACACACTGAACTGTACACTTAAAATGGCTAAGATGATAAACATTATATGTATAATTTACCACAAATAAAAATCAAAATAAGAAAAAAAGGAGTCTGAGAATGGTTCATAGGACAAAACTCAATGCTGAAAAAGAAACACATCCAAGTCATAGTGATACTGAAAGGCTAGAAATGGAAAAATGGGGAAAGATATACCAAACAAACGTAAACAACAAGCAAGCAAGGACTGTGATCCTGACAGAATTCAGACTCAGCACTGCATGAAGATGTGAGTCTGGAGTCTAGCTAGGCATCAAACACAGAAACAGTTTCATAAAACAGAAATTATAGGAAATGCAAGAAGAAATAGAAATGTTAGTAATAGGAGACTGATACACACCACTTTTGGTCCTAGATGCTTCAATGGTCAAAAAATAAGGAGAAAAGTTAAACAATAATTTATGAACTATATTTATAAACTATATATATATTTATATGTGTGTGTGTATGTGCCCCCAAATAGAGAATACTTCAAGTGTACATCATGAAAAGTGACCATTTACTAGAACAAATAAAGGATCAGTGGCTTTTGAGGACACAAGGTTTTATGATCAGTCTTTTCCTAACTGTAGTCTCAGTTGATGGTTTCAATGGGATAAAGGTCATAGAAGCACCTTGAAAACTAAAAAGCACCAAGCAAATGTTTGTTACTGATGCTCTCAATACTACTGTTGTTGTAAAAAACAAAAAAATAAAAAAACAAAAACCAAAATACTACTGTTGTTGTTATGGCATTCACTGCTTTGTCATCATTTCACTGACTGGTTCTCTGATGTATTTTAGAGAAGTATGCCAATCAGGCAGGGTACGAATGTCATCTTTACCGTCTCCATAATTGCTACTACTTCTTCAGTGTTTAGTATGTGCCAACCACTAGGCTATTTAGCTGCACTTTTATTAGAAATAACTTTCTAATTATTCTGTAAGGCAAGACTTCAGCTTCTCTTACATCATTGTCCAGGCCCAGAGCAGTACTACACACATCTTCAGTAAGTGCTCGACGAAGCACACGAATCGAGGACCCACTTCCCAGTTAGAACTGGGTTTGAAACTGCACTGCAGCACTTGCTAGCTTTGACTGTGGGCAAGAAATACCCTTTCTGAACTTCAGTTTTCTCATATGTAAACACATAAGTGTAGTACTTACATCAACTAGGGTAAGTTTAAATGTAACACATATAGCACGATACCTGGTCCACAATAAACATTCACTAAATATTAGTCTTGAGATTGCAGGAGGAAGAGTAGAATTCACCAGATAATCTTAAAACAGCAATCCTTTTCCTCTAAAAAAAAAAAAAAATTTTTTTTTCAATAGAAATATCTTTCAGTGCACTTATTAAAAAGTATGGTAGGTCCCAATGATGAAGTGACTGTATTGTATACCTAAAATGTACCAATAACAATGAAAAAAAAAATATGGTAGGTGTTGAGTAAAACAGTAATGGTAGATCCCTATTATCAAATATTGCATTGCAATGAAAGAATGAATTATATTTATATGCACACACATAAATAGATGGTCACAATTGTTTTTGGACTAAAAAAAAAAAAGCAAACCAGAATATATATACAGAATATTTCCTTTCCCTCCTTTTAAAAATTATTAGGGGCCGGGGATTTAGCTCAGTGGTTCCACCGCCTGCCTTGCAAGGGCAAAGTCCTGAGTTTGATCCCTAGTACCCAAAAAAAAAAAAAAAAATTATTAATGCACAGAGAAAACTCTGCAAGAGTAGAAACCTAATTTTAAAGAGAGGTAAGACTGGAGAGCTGTATTTGAACTTTTTGTATTTGTTTATTTTGTAATTTCCAACGTGCACATCAGAAAAAAAAAAGGAAAAAAAGTTGCCTGAATTCTTCATGGGATTTTCAAAGCTGCTGAACTGACAGAGAAGGTAGTTAATTCTTCTGGCAAATGAATCTCCACACCCAGTTTTTCCTCGTGAAAGAGACTGTGGAGGGAGAAGGAGATGAATTACTCCAGCACCCGCGTTCCTCAGGGCATCCGAACAGGTGGTCTCTTCGTCCCTGCCACCACTGCACCCTTGACATGCAGAGCCACAGAGAAACTCTTTGATAAATGTCAACTGAAATACAGCAATCAGCTGAAAGCCATTTGCTGAGCCGTCTGACTGCCCCAGACTCGAGGTTTTCCTTTATTCATTCATCATGATGTACGGCTTTGGCCAACATACACACAGGAGAGAAATTGTTGACATGTGGAACCCAAGTACAGAAAATCTTTCATTTTCCCCCTCGTCTGTTCACCAAGTAAGTTTTTGTTTATTTAAAGACTACAGAGGATTTGGCTGTTAAGAACCAAATGCCTTTGGAGTGGGGTTACAACATAATTTATCATTTCCTCTGTTTATTAAAAAAAAAAAAATCCTGCATCTTTGAGAAGAACATTTGCAGTGAGCAGGGGACTTCGGCCACTCACAATAGACTGTGGCAAAGCCCCGCCATGTGGCTCGCTCCAAAAGGGGCTCCTTCATTGCTCTCCGTATCTCTGCTTTCCCAACTGGCTTCTGACAGACTGCATGATGTCCACTAAGGGCCAGTGAATGGGGTTGGAGGACAGATAAACTGGGCAGATGACTATGTCAGCTCCTTTCATCCTTGACCTAAACCTGACCTCAAATTTTCACTGGCTATTTCACAGCAGGTTCTACCAGGATAAGCAGAGGGAGGAGTACATCATTTATTACCTCTAGCACAGAACAAAGACTGGAGAGAGTAACACAGCAAACAGAAGGCAGATGCTGCTTCAAGGGAACTCAGTCCCTGCTGAAGGCAGACACACTATAGACAGCAATATAATTCAGGCACCATTCAGAGACAGGGGCCACATCTTACCCATTTTTGTATTCCCAACCCATAGCACAGTCACTGACAAATGATTGGTGCTTACTAAATGCTTGCCAAGGTGGCAGATCCTTCAGGGTTCCTGAGTACTCAAGGTTTTGGGAGTGCGGTGTGCTGAGAGGGGCCATGGAAGCTGTGTAACACTCCCCTCATTACTTTGCCCTAGGTACCTCTTTTTCTGTATCTTTTATAATAAATCAGTTCAGTAAACATGTTTCCCTGAGTTCTGTGAGCTGTCCTAGCAAATTAACTGACTCAAAGGAAGGGGTTGGGAACCCAGTTTGTAGCTAGTCTATCAGAATTATAAATGGCTCAGAGTCACAATTGGTATCAAAAGTGGGAGCAGTTTTGTGGGGCCGAGCCCACAATCCATGGAATCAACACTATCTCTGGGAAGATAGCATCAGAATTGAATTACAGTATAAGATATACACCAGAGAAGTGCTTGGTGTGAGGGAGAAAGTCTCACACATCTGGTCACAGAAGTGTTCTGTGTTGAGTGTGAGTATCATCTGAAAAAGAGTTCGCTGTTTCCGTCTGGCATCAGTGAACAAGAGACATTAGGATCAGGTCTCAATCCAGCCTTGCCACTTGCAAGCTGTATGACCCTGAGCAAGAAACCTCACTTCTTTGAAATATGAAACTGATAATGAATAATGAAAACCTCTACCATTTTCCAGCTTTGTTACTTTGGAAAGATTATCTACCTGACATTGTCAAGTCTGTTTTCCTATTTGTAAATGGCAGTAATATATATACATCTGTTAAATTTACTGTGAAGACTACCATTAATGCCTAGTACCAAATCTAGCTTGTGATGGCTATATGAATGAATGAAAAATAATTCGGGGGAAAACCTAATTAACTACCCAAAGATGGACCACAATTAAGCACTTGTCTGTCGACAGTCAGGCCTTGGGGAAAGGTATCTCATCATCAAGCAAATATCAACATCAAGGGCAAGAACAAGAAAGAAAAATGGCAGAAAGACAGTGTTAACAACAGAAAAAGACAAGAAGTCAGCATTTGTAGAGTAGCTACTACATGTAATTTATTCACAACACAAATATAGGAATACCTACATGTTCCAGGTATTATGCTAAGATACAGAATAATTAGCAAAAAAGAATAATTAGGGTTCAAATAAAACCAGTACGTTGAGCTATGAGAGAGAGCCAATAATGGGGTTCTGAGATGGAGTGGAGAGAAGACTTTCCACAGGATGTGACGTCGAGGTGAAAAGGACTGGCCTGAGAGGAGCGGAACAGTGGTCCAGGCAGAGAGCACAGCATGTGTGAAAACGGCCTGGAGACAAAAGCACTAGTCTTGGTTGTTTTATACACAGGTTCTTAGAAATCATTCATCCAGGCCAACTCTGTCCTTTCCACCTTTGTGGTTGTTATTCTTTCCAACTTATTTAGATTTTAGCACTTGGTAAAAATGAGCCTCTAGCAAAGGGGCCCAGACACAGATGAAAGCTGACATGAGTCTGAGCAGAGTTTAAAATCAGGGACAGGGCCTGACTCACTGTCTGAAGAGGAGATTTCCAAGGTGATGAGCTGGTGGTGCTAAGCTGCCAATGGTTCCAATCGCTTGGCGACATCACTGTAAAGCAAATGCCTGAGTGAAGATCTTCTGCCAGCAGCAGATGCTCTCTGAGGGCCATCTTGCTGGAAGGCTCAGAGCAGAATAGGAGAGGCAGGGGAAAGAGGAAGAGAATGACAAGTTTGAGTGCCCCACTGAAAGGTTGAGCCTCCTGTGGACTGACAGCACTGCACCAGCCTTCCACATGAATGGAGGAGTGACAGAGGGGCCAATTTGCCATCTATGAGATCCATCAGCACCTGGGCTCTGGAGTGTGGCTGGCCCTGCTGGACTTTCATCCAAGGAGTTCTTTGGTCTTCACTGCCAGATGCCTGTCCAATTCCGCCATGGTGTCATCGGCCATCTGGCTGATCTGGAAGAACACACAGAGAGATAGTTTGGTAACTGGGATCACAGAAGGATAGGAGGACAAATGCTCCAGAAATGTGAAAGGGTTTATGTGGGAAACAATAATGGTGACAAAAGTTCACATTAATGGAGTGCCAGCCAGGAACTGTGCTAAGAACTTTTCAGATACATTCTTATTTTGCTTCCCAACGGCAACCCTATGAGATAACTATTATTATACCCATTTTGCACATAAGGAAACTGAATCTTACCTCACTTATTCAGGGTACAAGCTAGAGAGTTGCAATTCCAATATTTAATCCATGGAAGTCTGATTCCATAGCCAACATTCTTAACTATTATATGAATCAGAGAAGCTAGCCTATTTGTCTCTCCATGGGCCTCCAGAATGCCTTATACCTCAGTTACTCTGCTATAGAAAGCCTTCAGAAGAACCAATAACGAGAATATTAAGCTCTCAAGAATTAAGCAGAAAAAAAAAGCCTTGAAAAGGGATGAAATACATCTGGTTAACAAACATAGAAAATTCAATAGACACTGAAGAAATGCAAATTAAAACAAGATACAGTACAGCTATCGTAGTTAGCAAAATTTGATGTTGTGGTTTTTAATTATAATATTCAATGCCAGCAAGCTACAGTGAAATGGATAGCTCATGTATCACTGATAGGAATTCAAACTGATGCAAATGTTCATACCATCTAACCCTTGAAACTTTTCAACTGAAAAATTATCATATGAACAGGACCTAAAAATTTTTCTTAAGTTCTATATGCAAAGATATTTATCCTAGCTTTATTTTTAATAATAAAAAATCAGAAAACTTGAAGTCACAGAATGGGGAAGTAGTTGAATACAGTCATTAAAAACGGTTAAGATATGGAGAGGATGTACACATGAATAACATTTCAGTACTTATTCCTGAAATATTTAAATGCTTTAAAACAAGCATGAGTTACATTTGTAATCAGAAAAAAGTTTTTGACTTAATAATGTTTCAGGATACTTATAATACTGTGGAGACATGCTCATGGTATGCTTCAACTAAAGAACAAGTAAGATTCAAAATTCTGTATATCTGTAGGAGATATGATCTATAAAATACACGAACAAAAAATTGCGTATTTTTAAAAAGTGGAAGGAAATTTGCCAAAATACTACCAGTGGTTAACTTTAAGTGATGGGAAGATAGGAAATGTATTAGCAATGTCAGTATCTGTCACATCTCACCTAGGACCTAGCACAAACCAAGCTCCTGGGAAATATTTACTAAGTGAATAATTATCAATGTTTTCTGGGTTTCTTTACATTTTCAAATTTTCTGCAGTAAGCATGTACACCTTCCAAGAATGAAACACAACACAATGTAATTTAGTAGGTGCTGAGCCTCCCTCCTACATCTCAATAGGACTAAAGGCAGGAAGCTTAGAGGGCAGCGGCATGGTGCCCAGGATCTGTCCCCACAGCAGCACAGTGGCTGTTTGACATCTTTATTTGCCAACTATGAGACTTGGCCAGGAATCAGGAACTAAATGCACTGGAAAGAGCAGAAACTAAAGAGGACGTGCAACAACTGGTCCCAGGCAGGGAGGCAGCCAGCCTCTTGCCATAGCAACAGCTGCACATTTTTCAGCTGGAAAAGCAAAGTTCCTGGGGCTGTCAGATACTCTGGAAAAGGAGCTGGACTCAAGAATGGCAACTACGTGTCTCTTCACTGAGCCAGCCACAAACTTGAGATGCTTCTGCCCCCTGCAGCTAGGGGCTGTCAGCCTAGGGTAGCAGGAACAGCACTGAGGGTAGTCTGGGCACAGGGATGGAGACGGAGAGGAGGCAGTATCCAAGGTGAGAATGTGATGACATGGGGAGCAATGTGAGTCACTTTCCCACTCTGAGTCTCAGTTTCCCCATCTATCAAAGGTAGATGCCAGTCCCTCCCTCAGAGCAGTTATGAGAGTTAAACAAAATTGTGACCATAGAAGCATGTTTAAAACTTGTTATTTGCTATTCAAGTGTTAGTTGTGTTACTATGCCTTTTACTACCACTTCCTGACTTCTTTTCAAATTAATTAATCAATGAAAATATTTACCAAGTTTTTACCATATAAAGTACAAAGTGTCTTTGGGAACAGTCTCATCTGCAAGTTCATCTTTTCCATCTTCATCAGACTTCTGAAAATACTAATGATTAACAGCAACAAAAGCTCCCACTTCCTGAGTACTTACTACACTTAGATACTGAGCTAACACTTTTACATGCATTACTGTACTTAATCCTTACAACATATGAAATACTGGCATCTCTTTTAATATATTATGAACATTATTCCACCTGCCTGTTGTATAATAGTCTCTACTATGCAAAAGTGTTTTGTCTGTTACTTTATTTAAATCTAACCACCTCACATAACCTCTATAAAGCACATGCAGTGGGTATCAACCATCCCCATTTTATAAAGGAGTAAACCAATGCATAGAACATTAACTGCTCTGCCCAAGACTGCATCAATAGTTAGTGGTATGGCTGGGCCAGGAGCTCACCTACTTCTGGCCAGTCTGGTGCTTCTATTCCCCTTGTGGCCATAGCACCTGGCCTAGTCCTTTCTCATTTCAGCCGGGCTGTGGCAAAGTCAATGGAGTGGAGCCCAGAGCCTTTAAAGTCAAAGTTCAGAAAATGAGCGAGATAAACAAATGGGTGAAAATTAGCTAAGACCAGTGACCGACCATCACAGTCACTTCTAAGTTTGCTATGTTACAAATCCCGTGGGACAGGCACAGTTGCTTCTACGTTATAGATGCACAAAGAGAGGCTCTGAAAAGTGAGGCCATTTGCTAATAACCATCACAACTGAGAAGCAAAAGAGCAGGATTTGAATCCAAGCCTGTCTGAATCTAGAACAAGAGGCCTTTCCATTATCACATGCAACCTCATAAAGCTAATATTATCATTGACATCACTGTTGTCATCATCATCACATTTGCTACGCAGGGCCACAAGGGGAATGGCAGGAACACAGAGTGCAGCTCCAGGCAGGTCTGCATACACATCATCCTTCCAGAGGCCTGGCTCAGAACATCCACTGCCTGCTGCCCAGGTTGGCAGGAGCCCTCTCCTTTCGTCCCACTAGCACCCAGCTTCGCTCCTTTCAGAGCAGCAGGCTTCTTCTCAGAGACAGGCGGCAGTGAAAGGATCTTGGCCAGAGTTACTGGTGGTTTCTGCCAAGTGCTTTAATGTTTAGCAGGCTCATTTACAGCAAACTAAAGTGAAGGTGAAACAGCAGGCTGGCAGATGTCAGAGTCCTGAGCAGGAGGACCCTGGTCCCTCTTCAGCAGAGCTGGCCAGCGTCGGGGTTTGACTAGTTTGGAGGGCTGGAGAAAGTTTGGGGTCAGACACAATGTCAGAGAGGGAACTATTGTGAGTCACTTCACTCTTACACACCAAAAACGAAAGAAATGTTGTTCTAATAAAGTTTTTTAAAACTCTGACCTCAAAAGAATTTTGGAAACAAATTTTAAAAGGAAAAAAATCTCACAAAAAACTAAAATAAAAATTGTTCACATTCCCATCACCTAGAATGACCACCTTTAGATTTTGATATGTATAAGCTGCCAACTATTTCACGTATTTGACTTTCCTTTATAAAAATGGAATTATAAACTACCATTTTAAAACAATAAATTCTAGGCCAAGTGTGGTGGTGCATACCTATAATCCAAGCACTCTGAGAGGCTGAGGCAGAAGGGTCACATGTTTGAGGCCAGCATGGGCAATGTAAGAGACTTAGACCCTGTCTCAAAGTAAAAAATAAAAAGGGCTGAGGATATAGCTCAGTATAAAGACCATCGATTCAATCTCCAGTACAGCAAAATAAAACAAAAAAAGTTAATTTAAAAAATGTCCATGTGTGTATTATATTTTTATGACTGTCTTTCTAATAGATTCTAATGAGTGCCATATCACCCACTGTCAGAAATTTGGACATTTCCAGCTGTTATTATGTACAATACATCAATGAACATCACTGTATGTAAGACTCTTGACAGTTTATTTTGGATAAATTCCTAAGTTACTGAATCAGGAATATACAGATTTTGCTACACACTGCCTTATTATCCTCTAGAAAGGTTATATAGATTTATATAAAAATAATCTTTTCTGTAAAGCATGGAGCAAAAGCAGTACTTCTAAGAGAATCAACATTTTAGACTCATTAAAAATTCTAGGTTCAAGTGTTAGAAATTAGAAAAAGCAAAAATTTTTAAATATACATATCTCAAAATCCCTAGGTGATTTAGGCAGTAGGTACTAAGAACCTTAAAAATACATATTTCTTCTGTTCAGTAATTCCACTCTTGGGATGTTCTACCCTAAGGAAACACAAGAGCTTATAATTCATTGCAACTTTTTTATAATATAAAGATTAAAACAAAATAAATGTCCAAAAAGAGAGCTTCTAAAAATGAACCATAAGATAGCAGCCCTTGGAAATGACCATTCACAAAATGTTTTCAAGACACAAAAAGTGCTAATGCCTTTAATACCAAATAGAAAATTATAAGCTGCATGCAAAATTGTATATATATTTTATGTACTCAATCACAGTTTAAAACTATGCAGTGTTAGTTTTTTAAGTATTCCAAACCATGAAGAGCAGCTGCTCTGCAATGTGAGCTGATGTAATGAATTTCTTCCCCATTTTTATTTATTTTTTTCTTCCCCACTTTTAAAGTTTTCTGTATTCTATATTTTCTATAATAAGCAGATATTACTTTGATAATCAGGAATAAAAGTAAACAAATAAATTTTTTATAGTTGTTGATGAAGCACCCTTGTTTATATAAAAAACAAAAAAGCCTATACCATAAACTCCAGGTTGGTGCCTTCTGACAGGGAAAAAGACCAAAATGAAGAGCACACAAGGCTGTTTCTTACCCCAACTTTTCATCATATCACAGTAAACCAAAGTACTAACAATAGGAAGGAACTAACATTTAAATGATAGTATC